AGAGGATGAGATGGTTGGATGGCATCACCGACTCAATGGACATGGGTTTGGGTGGACTCTGGGAGTTGGTGATGGACAGGGAGGCCTGTCATGCTATGGTTCATGGGGTCGCAAAGGGTCAGACAAAACTGAGCGACTGAACTGAACTGAAAAGTATAGAAACTTTTTTATAGCACTTCTCTACTCTATTACTTGGGCTTCCCTGGTGGCTTCCTATGGTTTAAAGAATATGCCTGGAAAAAAAAAAAGAATCTGCCTGCAATGCTGGAGACCTGAGTTCGATCCCTGTGTTGGAAGGATCCTCTATAGAAGGGAATGGCAACCCACTCCAATATTCTTGCCTGGAGAATCTCATGGACAGAGGAGCCTCCTGGGCTATAGTCCATGGAGTTGCAGAGCTGTACAGGACTGAGCGAGTAACACTTCAATCTGTTACTTAGTAACAAATTTTTTTTTAATCTTATCCCACTAGAAGATAAACTTCACTGAAAATATTTGTTGTTGATTGGAGATGCCATTATTTACTACTTTTTTATTTATTGCTTCTATTTGCTGTTATGAATATACAGCCAAATTACTAACTAAATAAATTACTTCCATTCCATAACAGCTTATTTTCATCACAAATGTTATATTCTACTAGGCTAATATATGCAATAAAAACCAAATAAATGTGTTATATGTCAAGCTATTCAAGTGGAGAAAAATTAATTTGTTGGCAATAAAGATGGATAGAAGGAAACAGGGGTTATTTTAGAAGGTGTAGTCAGGAAAGGTAAAGTGAGATTTGCATCAACTTGGCAGAGAGTTCTATAGATGTTTGTTTAGTCACGTCTGACTCTCTGCGAAGTGGGTTGCCATCTTCCTCCTCCAGGTAATCTTCTAGACCCAGGGATTAAACCTGCGTCTCCTGTAATGCAGGCAGATTCTTTATCTGCTGAGCCGTTGAGGAAGCCCCTGTGGATATTTAGTGAAGCGGTACTCCAGGCAGGAGGAACAGCAAGAGAAAAGACCCTAAGTGGGAAGATGAGTGTGACTGGAGTGGATGGAGGCAGATGGAGAATAGGAAGAGATGATGCAGCGAGGTAAGTTAAGGGCACCCAGAGCTCTGTAGGTCATGGGAAGGACTCAGGTTCTTGCTCTGAATGAGACAGGAGCCATGTTAGGAAGAGAGAGGGAACGGTAGTCTAGCTTCTGCTTTAAAAGGTGATGTGACCCTTGTGGGGAGAGTACACTATAGGCAGCTAAGCTAGAAATGGGAAAACCAATGAAGAGGCATTCAAGTGATCAGGCAAGAAATGATGATAGATTACACAGGGTGATTAACATAGGGGTTAGATTCAGGATATATTTTGATATAATGCTGGCAGGATTTCTTGATAGATTATACAGTACTACTGACTGATTGCAATCAAGGATGATATCAAATTTTTATTCTCAGTCACTGGGAAAATGGAGGTAGCTTAAGTTGGTTTGGTAATGACTGCAAGATATAGAATAATATGATAACCATTACAATCCATATTTCCAAAACTCTAATGTCATAATAATACTATGATTTGATTTTAAAATGCAGGATGCAAATTTGCATAAATGGCACAAGCCTATTTTCACTAATATATAGTCACAAAAACATATATTCATAAGAGAAAAAAGATCAGCCAGAAATGTATGTTTTTATATAACACAGCAATGGATAACTTTCATTTTGGGTTTTTTTTTTGTATTTGGGGGTATTTTTAAGTTTTCTAAGATAGCACTTAGCGTTTTTACCATCAGAAAGAATAATATATATTTTAATGAATAAATTCACTATCCAAGAAGACTCTAAAAGTAATTGAATGGCCATGCTGTTGAAAATTTTATGCATTTTAGTGCCATATTTTGTTTATATCCCTATTTATTTTAAATGATGAAAACTCCTAACTAAGTTAATTCAGAATAAACGATTTAGGAAAATTACCACTTTCTGCAGTTTGGAAGAGAAATGGGTCACTAAACACTCCAATGCCAGCACTGTTTTCTGCAGCAACCTAAAACAGACCACAAAAATTACATTCAAGCTTTATACTCTAATTAAACAGGGTCTGAAATAGTAAAACTGATTTGTCCATAAGGTAAATGATAACGATACTTTCCCCTCTAATTCCTAACAATAATCTCGAAGCAGAAGCAAATATAGAGCTATTAAGTATTTCCATTTCCCTTAAGTGAATATTTGCAACACAGTCTGAATCAACAGATTTCTCAGATTCCTGATAGAGAAATTAATAATCAAGTTTAATGTCTATTAGTAGCAATAACAATTTCAGTTACTATTTATTAAGCAACTTCTGTACACTCAGAAATTGACTAGGGATTTTACACATTTCATTTTATCCACATAATCAAAGTGCAAGGAATTATTGTCAATATTCTACATATGAGAAAACTGGTTGAGAGAGGTCAAGTAACTTGCCTCATGTCACAGGAATAAGTGGCAGAATCAGAATTCAGTTGAAGTTGTGTTTACTTCTAAAGCTCAATTTCTTTCTACTATATTCTCTCTAAGACACCATGATTATTTCTGTAATGAACATGAGACCATTAACACAGTGTCTGACTTTAGAGTTTACAATCTAATTAGGAAAATTTTAAAAATAAATAGGTAATCATTTAGACTAAATATTCTAGAATTTAAAAGAGAGAAACTATTTTGGCTTGAAATATCTAGTCAAATACGCTAGAATAGACAGAAAGTGTCATAAATGAGAACTCTTAAGCTTTTCCAAATGCCATAACTGGAATCAGACAGCCTTGGTTTAAATTGAAGCTCTACCAATTTTCAGATAAAAATGTGTTTACTTCTAAAGCTCAATTTCTTTCTACTATATTCTCTCTAAGACACCATGATTATTTCTGTAATGAACATGAGACCATTAACACAGTGTCTGACTTTAGAGTTTACAATCTAATTAGGAAAATTTTAAAAATAAATAGGTAATCATTTAGACTAAATATTCTAGAATTTAAAAGATAGAAACTATTTTGGCTTGAAATATCTAGTCAAATACGCTAGAATAGACAGTGTCATAAATGAGAACTCTTAAGCTTTTCCAAATGCCATAACTGGAATCAGACAGCCTTGGTTTAAATTGAAGCTCTACCAATTTTCAGATAAAAAAGGTTATCCTATTTTCCTTTACTTTAAAATGGAAACAATATATCAATGTCATAAGATGATTCTGAATACTAAATGAAACAACAATATAAAATACTAAACAGGATTTTCCCCATATCATGTAGATTTGATATTGACATCTGAAGATACCAAATATACCATTTCAAATGCCCTTTGAAATTCTGCAATGGTTAACATATATTTGAACAGAATAAAAGTTACAACAGTGGTTAATAAAGTGTAGGGTAAAAAAGAGAATAGGGGCTTCCCTATAGTCCTGAAATAAGAGAATTCAAAGGAATAAAAATTTAAATTCTGTAAAAAAAGATCTAAGCAGAATGAGGTTGGCTAAATTGCCTTTCTATCAGTAACTGCTTCTTACATCACATTAAAAGATAATCTATTATTTTGAATAGTATATCTTAACATATAAATTAATTTGAATATGAGCTTATGATAGAAAATATCTGTGCCAAATAATTTTCAGGAGTCAGTTAGAAAAAGGTTGCCTACTCTTTAACTCATGTTTCTGCCGAGAAAGAGCCATCAAATCTTTGATTCTTACCACTGCATAAGTAAAAGCATCTATATTTTTCTTTTGTCATGTGGGGGGTGTATACTCTTGGTATGCCTACTCTCCTTTTATTATGATATTTGATTCTGCAAATAGGCATACTTGCAGTTACATTTTAAAAACAGGCAAGTGTCTCTTTCTTATCATTTCTTCTGTTTAGATGGTCATCTCAGTTATGTATGATCACATATTTACACAGCTTTTTCTCTTGAGTCAAGACTAAAGAATATATTGACATTATACTGAAAACAGGGAGGGATGAGAAAATGCCTGTATTCTTTACTACCCCCTGGAAATACCATGTGTGTGTATTGCTCTGTCATATCCAACTCTTGGCGATCCCATAGACTGCAGTTCACCTTGTGTCTCCTACATAGGCAGGCGGATTTTTTTACCACTAGTGTCACCACATGTCTCTTACCTGTAAACATTTTCACATGGCCTAACTAACATAAAAGACTGTTTTTTGCATGCTCTTCTTTAATATTTTAATAAAGTGTTCTTAGATTTTGTATATTTAGCGCTGTAAAGGCATAAAATTTTTGTAAACATAAAAGAGATCATATGCATCCAGGAAATATTTGTTGAATGGAACCAATCTGAATTTGTTGTTCTTTGAGAAACTGGTTCTTTAGAAACCTTCAAATCATTATCCAAAATTACAACAATATGGAAATATAAGCAGATTAAGAGAAAAATTACAAAGCTAACTTCAAATTTGATTAAAAAGTAGAATATATGTGCTTATAAAACCTATTAAAGTTTAATTTTTTAAACTAAAATAATGCTTTCTAAAATAGATACATTATATAAATACAAACACACACACACACACACACAAAATGACTATATAACATTTGTTCAAGTTTTAAAAGCCCAGATGGGCAATGAGGACATGATTCAGATGATCATTCTTCAAGTTTCTTGCTGCAAAAGCTTGACCTGTTGGGATAAAACTCCTTCACTTTTAAAATGAATGAAATATTTTAATATTATTTACAAAATAATTACCTTGATTTCATAAGTTGTTCCAGGATTAAGATTAGTAAGAAGAACTTCCAGACTGTCTGGTTTTGTTCTAACTTGTGTATACGTTGCCTGCATCCATGGACAAACTTCCTTATATTTTACAATGTAAGATATAATTCTCCCATTTGGATTAGGTGGTGTATTCCAAGACAGAAGAATCCCAGCAGATCCGACTCTTTCCCCTGCCAGGAAGACTGGAGGCCCCGGTTCTATTTTTCAAAAAATGCATGTTGTTATAAGGTCAATCAATCAGTTATTGTATTTTCACAAACATATGTAAGAAAAATATTTACAAACTGTAGACTTTTAAAGTTCCCAAAGACTAAGTGTCTCGTAAGTGTAAGTTTATCCTCCCTAGAGCTTTGCTACCAAGAGAAAAAATGATTAAATGCTATGGGGAATACCAAAAACATTCTTTTATAAGAATGTGAAAAATGGAATGTTACTAAATACTACATGCCAAATATAGTTTTAATGCCAAATCATTTTTCAGAAACACTCACTTGATGCAAGGTTTATACACAAACACTAAGGAAGCAAGAACCAGCCTTACAAATGGAGTAATTCTTTTGGAGCAAGTATAGTGAGTTTATTTTCATGGTTTTGTATTATTTAAATAGTACCATTAACAGTGTCTCTGATCCATTTCACAAACAAGTATGGAAAAATTATCTTTGCTCCTTGAAAGTACAGGAAGATAAAGACCCAGCAGAATGCAGGTTCTAAACAGATCACTTTCTTAAGTTTCCACTCTGCTTTAATTACTCAACTGTTTTCATGCATTCAATGCACATATTGCCAATGTAAATAGTTCCATCCAATAGATTTATAAAGGGTTCAAATACTTTGTAAAAAAAAAAAGAAAGAAAGAAAGAAAGAAAATGGAAAACATATACTTACTTGTCACATTTGTTGTCACTGTTCTACTAACAGGTGAGCTATATGTTGTAGCAGAAATGGAAGAGATGGTTACGTCATACCGTGTACCAGGAACAGCATTAGAAACATCAGCCTAAAACACCAAAAATAGATGACTGTGTTAAAAATTCTGAAATGTAGAAAAGCTAAAACAATAAATCCATCACAATCAAAAAAGTAAAGTTAGCACTTCACTACATAACTATGTACTATTTACCACAATGTGTTTCCTATTATTGTAAAAATATACATCTGTTATAGCAGAAATATTTACCAAATAACATGCAATAAAAACTTACAAAACAAACTACATTATCAAAGACTAAATCAGTAATTCTATCAATCCTAGTTCATTGTCACAATTATTTAAGAGTCCTAAGAAATCTATAGTCCATTGATTAGCCCTGGTATTTAACAGTGTGCATAAAATACCTGTGTCTCTGAAGTTCCAATAAAAAGTAAAAGGAAAATGATAAGAAAATCCATCATTATCACATTTTTCAGGCAGTAGAATCACATTGATGGCTCTAGAGAGAAATGTTGCCTGCATTAATGATTTAAAGACAGATCCTCCTGGCAAGTGCACAATTAATGAGCCTGGATTACTCAATAGCTCTGCCCTTTCTTTGTTAAACTATTCATGAACCCTTGGATGGTTGGCTGTAGGTTCAGGGTAGACAAAAAAAAACAAAAACCAGGCATTCTAAGGTAACAGTTCACCAATACTGAAACTACACTCATCAATTTAGCATCAGTGTTTTTGTCTTCATCTCACGCTTTTAAAGAGGCTCCAAGGAGGAAGTTTTCATGGTGGACGAGCTTCATAAACAACTTTCCTATTTGGACTAAATATAAAATACAAGTTGGCTTGGCCAAGTATGATAATGAAAACAATACCTGATATTCTCCACCTCCAAGATCTCTGATAGTAACAAAGCCACTGTCAGGAACAAGATCCATGTGAAACCTGTCCACGTGGCCAGAGGGTAGGCTCCAGTGCAGAGAAAAGGAATGTGCAGAAATATTGAAAGCTTTAAGTTTCTTGGGTTTTTCTGGTTCTGGTATTGAAAAATAGAGGTTTAGAATAGAGTTATCCTCCTAAACTTTCAAAGGAAAAAGGAAAATCAATGGTTTAAGGGCCAAGTTTCAAAACAACCTCATTGTTAGAAAGTGTCAGAGCCTTTACATTATTGCTAACCCTCTGTAGGTGTTAGGCATGCATATCTTTTAAAATGTCTAGTTTTAAGTTTAATTAACAGAAATGATATATCAATTTATGTATCTGTTTCTGGGATATTCCTTATCTACTAAAATCTGTTGGTTGACCAGATTGTTTTTTAAAGCTTATGTTCTAACTAAAAAATCAAATCATTTTAAAAACAAGTAGGTACAAAATACTTACGCAATTACCTGGATATTTATCAAACAGAAAATAATTTGAAAAAAATAACAAAATATGCCAAACATTTTAAAAGATACATTTCTGATGAATATTTAGTTAGGTGTTTCTTTAAAAGTTTTCATATTGGAAATGAAAACAAGATAATTTTTAAGCAATAACTAGTAATTGTCCTAGCCATTGCAACCATATTTTTTTCTACCTTTTCTTTCACTATTTCCAAAGTTTTGTTTATGCTGCCTGTACCTACTTGCAGGGAGTTTTCCACATAAAGTTCTTTGGATTGGTTGCAGGTGAGTCAAGTTTGCACTCTCTTATCTTTAGTGCAGATTCCAGGCAAACCATATAGGGGGAGGGAGATTATGAAGCTAAGCATGTGAAAAACATCCTGATACAGATCCACTCTAACACCATTTCCAAAAGAAAGGAGTCTAGAATTAGTTATTGAACTCCGTTTATCATTTTAACACTCCCTTTTCCACCAGAAGTGATTTGAAAATCAATATATTTAAAAAATTAATTGTACATTTCCTAACATAACTGAGAGGGCACATTGCATAAAATACATATCTTAACAGGCAATTTCCTAGTGTATTTGGCCGGGGGAGGAGGGGGTGGGCGTAGAATGTTTTTTCTTTATCTCCTTTGAAAAAATTCCTTTAATGGTTATAATGTAACCATCTCGCTAGTGCATGCTAAGTCACTTCAATCATGACCAACTCTGTGTGACCCCATGGACTGTAGCCCACCAGGCTCCTCTGTCCGTGGGATTCTCCAGGCAAGAATACTGGAGTGGATTGCTGTGTCCTCCCCCAGGGGATCTTCTCCACCCAGGGATCGAACCTGTGTCTCTTCTACCTGAATTGGCAGGCAGGTTCTTTACCACTAGTGCCACATGGGAAGCCCAGTGACTGAAGATTATTGATCAATTAATTTTCACATGACATCCTCAAAGACACAAACATTCTCTAGGCATCCCCTCCCAAGTGCCTATTCAGTGAGCACCACAGTTTCATAATAACTCTTTAGAAATATGCCACATCTAAGGTGAAAGATGTGCTTTCTAAGGTGATCAGAGAAATACCCAGTTTGTGATGGGCACAATTTCTTCCTTGGGCATAGCTGCTGGCATTTTTCCTGGATGATTCTGCACACAGATCTATGTCCTCTGTATTCTCACGCTTGAGAGAAAAGGCCTTTATTCTCCTCACCAGTTCATGTTAAAATAGACAAAAGTTTAACATGACAGAAGTCCAACCACTACTCACACTTACTGATTGTGAGGGCTAATACTATTTCTTCAAGAGTCCTAAAAAAGTATCTAACATTCAAGAAGTCTTACTCAAGAAACAAGAAAAAGAGCTGGAATGAGACTTCGAAAGAAAAATGAATATAGAAGTAAAGGGCTGTTTACTAAGACGGTGGTGAGGAAGAGAAGATGCAGTTTCCCGGATGGTCTACAATTACACGTTGAAGAACTCTTGGCCAAGGATGAAGTCTGTCTCACCAAGAGGAGGAAGAATATATTTGTCTGGATATCTTCCAATCTGATAAAAAAGGGAAAGCTTCAGGACAGTTTGGTAAAGGCCTCTTAAAGCAAAGTGAATAGAAGCCCTGCAAATGGACAGAAAATAAAGTGACTGACGAAAACCAGCCTGAGGTGTGGGACCACTTAGGAAAGAACAGTCTGATCGTCATGCAGGCCACAATAAAATTTTAGATTTTTTTCCCCTAAATGCAACGGAAAACATTGAAAAATTTTAAGCAGAAAGTCAATCTGACTTATTTTTAATTTTATAAGATTACCCTGGAAGATGGGAGATAAACTGGTGAGAGGCAACAGTGGCAGCATGAGGCCAATTAACAGGATTCTGTGGTTCTGCGCTGAGAGGAGGGAGGCTTGCCCTCAGGAAAAGGGAGGAGAGGTGAAGTGATACTTCAGTCATTGCGTGAGTGGAGCTTTCTGGATAAGAACTGAAAGATTCAATTAATGAAACAGATCCCACAATAAGTACATGATTTGTATTCCGTGGAATATAATCTCTGAAAAGGTAGAAAAATATGAAGCAAAAATATCACTCTCAATTCAATTGTTACTAACCAATAAAATCAAGTTGTGTGGTAGCTTTTGAGTTATATATATGTATCTTTTATATATATATATATGTATCATATATATCTTTGAGTTTTATATATATATCTCACATTGTGTTCAATTTAATTAGGGCTAGCAAGAGTAATTCTAGGCCTAGTTAATTTTTTAGACCAGAATTTTCCAAAAATTAATCCTTAGTACCCTAAATCCCTACAATTTAATAGATGTCAGTGATCAAACCATTTTGTCAAATAATTCCTTTTTTACATGAAACAGCTTCCTTTATTGCAGGTTAGCTCAGTCTTAAGTTTAAATATGTGACTTGTGCTTCTCTAAAGCAGCACTATCTGATAAAAATACAAGATAAACAACATTAGTGCTCGCTTCGACAGCACATATACTAAAATTGGAACAATACAGAGAAGATTAGCATGGCCCCTGAGAAAGGATGACACACAAATTTGTGAAGCGTTCCATATTTTTACTAGAACACTTTCTAACACCATACACAAAAATGAACTCAAAATGGATTAAAGATCTAAATGTAAGACCAGAAACTATAAAACTCCTAGAGGAGAACATAGGCAAAACACTCTCTGACATAAATCACAGCAGGATCCTCTATGAC